AAAAAAAAAAAAACTAACAAGAAATATTAACACCCCTGTTATGGTCAATTTCAATTGTCAACTTACTTCTATCTAGAAGAACTTGGAAAAGGTATCCTGGGCCTGCCTATGGGAGTTGGGCACACTAAAACTGGCACAGAACTCCTGAGTACTATTGAAAGAAATAAGGTTTTTCTCACCCACCCGCCTTCTCCCAGGCAGTTCCCATCATGACACCTCTCTGGAACAAGTTGCTTGAGGTATTTCTAGGGGGTTGGGAACAAGGCTGTCTTCAAAATTCTCCCAGGCAGTTCCCATCATGACACCTCTCTGGAACAAGTTGCTTGAGGTATTTCTAGGGGGTTGGGAACAAGGCTGTCTTCAAAATTCTCCCAGGCAGTTCCCATCATGACACCTCTCTGGAACAAGTTGCTTGAGGTATTTCTAGGGGGTTGGGAACAAGGCTGTCTTCAAAATGTCTTGGAGACTAGTGCTGAGGTAGTCTTTGATGCTCTGTTAACAATGTAGACTATTTTTTTCATTATTGCCTCAAGTGGGGTTGGCCTGGAATATGGGGTTAGGTAGGCAGGTCCCCTTGGGTTTCTCTCCAGTCCACATTTCCCTAAAGGTCTACCATTTATTCAGTAAAAAATCTGGTTTCCCCTTGCCTGCCATTTGTGGTCTCATGAACAAAGAAAGAGCTGATATTTATTGGGTAACCATCCCAATCATTACTTTTGCGGGATATTGTTGAGGTCAAAGCAACTGTAAAATACTACAGCAGAGCTTCAATTTGAATGTGTGGGGTGGAGAAGTAAATGTGAATGGCCTAAAACTAGCAAGGCCACAGAATTATTTAAAGTAGAATATGAGGTAGGCTGGGAACCTGTGGGACAGAAGACTAAACCAGACATTTAGGTAGGAACAACTTTCTTATCCTGTGAAGGCAGAAATGGGCATGTACCCTCAGTAGCACCACATGGGCAAGAGATAGGATGTCTCATGGAGATAAGTCACAACCATTTCAGTCTTTCTTCACCCCTCCAGGTGGAGAGTTCCACACCTGTACAGGTAGACACTCAAGTCAGAATAAGCTGATCCTTAACATCATTACAGTCATTGCTATCCATTTTTTTCAATCTCTGGGAGTTCCTCCAAGAAACCATCTTTACTACCTTTATTCAACCTGTTATTTTTCTCTCTCCATTCCTACTGTCCACTCCAGCAATCCCTCAGCCCACAGTCACGTAGGGACAGTCCATTTCCTACCTCCTTACTCTGGACTATTCCAGTAATTTCCAGGGTGACCTACTGTATTCTACTCCACAATTTCTGTCAGGACTCATAGAAAATGCCCTGATTTCTGTCCTTTTGACTTGCTTCCATTCCCTCCTCAACATACTCCCATGTACATCTGGGCTCCAGTTAAGACTCCCTCTCTCACTAGCCCACAGAAGCCATGGTCCTCTGTGTCCATGTAGGACTTTTTTATCAACTCAGACCCATTCCTGGCCTGATTTTCTTCCCTAATTTTCCAACATACTTTGACTTGCCCACTGCACTGTCTCCCAGGCAGATGATTTTCACGTTGTCATGAGCATCATATTTCTTTTGGTTCAGCTCACAGTTCTTGGTTTTGTCGCCAGCCATTAGCCCCTGGATGTAGACAAGAGCCAGCTGTGGAATCTTGTCAGTCTGGAAAAGTCAACAAGAGGCTGCTGTTAGAGAAGAGTAATCTCAATTAAATCTAGATTTTCTTCCTCCTGGACAAGAGCTAAAGAGAGGGCCCAAAGACACCCATACCGCCCCCCATTCACCAACAACTTGGCTGCCACCTCCTGAGTCTTAGGGCTGTAGCTTTGTCTCTAGATTCTCCTGTCAACTCCCTACTGCAGGTGTGTTCAGGTCATACCTCCTATGCTACCTTCCATGCTAGATTTACAAGTTCAACAGTCAGGCTTTCTTACTTGTAAAACACAACCAACAACCAAAAAATATTGCTCATATCACACAGCAAGTGTGAGACTATTTGGTAAAAACAAGCAGACACAGACCACATAATCAATGATGCCTGACCCACATTTTTCATTTTTTTTTTTTTTTTGGTTTTTTTTTTTTTTTTTTTTTTTTTTTTTAGCACTGGATCAGAATCAGAAACGGCCCTCATGTGATGATGGCTGAGGCGGAGTTTAACTCTTTTATTAACCCCATTTGGGAAAAAGCTGGTTTCCACATTGTGAGCACAGCAAGTCCTTAAATGGATTACTAAGAAAGAGGGAATAATTGAT